CAAGCAGTTCCTTCTCGAGGAGGTCTACGGTGAGCTCAGTGGGGGAGCGAGAGAGGAACTGGTCCCTGACAGGGCGCAGAGAGTCAGGGAGGCGGGTGACAACGTGGTAGAGAGTGATCCAGAGCGGGGGGGGGTTGCTAGCGAGGAACTCGTCAGGCATGGCAGCGCGAAAGCGAGCCTCACTAGTCTTAAGGTGGGTGATGAGGTCTGCGACAGTGTGAAAGGAGGCTAGGTCGGGGAACAGGTAGGGGAGAGTGAGGCGGCCTAGAGTGGCAGAAGCGGGTGAGGAGTAGCGGGCCACTACAGCTGTGTAGAGGTCCTTAGCAGTCTTGCACTGGCCGAAGTGCTCGCGCTCATCTAGCGGCAGGGAGTTGCGAATAGCAAAGCGAGCGTGCGCGTCACGGGTCTGCCACTGTGAGCGCTCAGCTGGGGGGGCAGTAGCGGGTGGGGCGGTCGCATGGCCGAGAGCGTGGTCGTACAGTGTAATATCTTCCTTGGCAGTGAGCTGTAGGAAAAGGTGCAGGTCATCTAGCCAGGTTTCGAATTTGACCGGACGGCCCTCGGCGTCGAAAGCTAGAACAGGAGGACTAGCCATAGCGACAGCGGCAGTAGTAGAAGCAGTAAAGTCACTGAAAAGGCGTGCGCAGGGTCAGCGGGGCCGGTGGGGCCTACGGACTGTAGTGGCGCACAAGCAGCAGTAGCAGGAAGTGTAGTAGTAGGATCTGCAGTGGTGCACAGGCGCAGCAGGCGGCAGCGAGAGCCGGCGCAGCAGGGGCGGGCTCAGCAGCGGTGATACGCGAGCGGCGGCGGGCGCAGCAGCGGCGGTGCGCGGGCGGCGGCGGGCTCAGCAGCAGCGGTGCGCGGGCGGCTGCGGGCTCAGCAGCGGCGGGCCGGGAGCAGGCAGCGCGCGGGCCGTGCGGGCCGTATGTGAGCTGCGCGGGCAGCGTGCGGGCCGGCGGCGGTCAGCGCAAGAGCCGCGCAGGCTCAGCGCGGGCTGCGCGGGCTGCTCGCGGGCTGCGTAAGCGGGTCGCGGGCGGCTCGCGGGGGTTCGCGGGCAGGTCGCGGGCTGCTCGCGGGCAGTTCGCGGGCTGTGCGCGGGCTGCGCGGGCTGGTCGCGGGCTGCGCAGGCGGTTCGCGGGCTGCGCGTGGGCGGTTCGCGGGCTGTGAGCGCGGCGCGCTGTGCGGTTCGCGGGCGGCGTGACGGGGCCGATCGGGGCGCTAAGGGGCGACGCGACGGGGGCCGTGAGAGGCCGCTAGGGAAAAAAAAAAAATTCGAAGGGGGGGGCCGGAGGGCCGCTAGATCGACGGGGCCAGCGGGGCCGGAAACAAGCGAAGGTAAGCAGGTAGGTAAGTCGGTGGGCCCTAAGAACAGTCCTAACGAAGGACCTGCTCTGAAACCATGTCAGAAATAACTGAGCAGGAATGGAATGAACTAGCAGAGAGTTTGGTACAAGTAGGAAACCCTAACTTTGAGTACCCCCTAAGGTGTAACCCACTACAGCCTACATAATATAAACATGCAATGTTTGACAAAGATATCGGGGTACTGTCGAATCAGCTCCGCTAAATCCGGTGGTATAGATGCGCACAGCTTCTCGATGTCGTTTCCGTCGGTGTCGGCTGCCAACTCGCGCAAGCATACGGCGAACAGTTGCGCACCCCTGTTGACGTGGCGTGTAATAGTGATGGCTTTGACGCATGTAGACTCGATGCAGTCCGGAGTCCACACGGGTAGAGTAATCAGCTTCCCATCCTTGCTGATGCTGCACGATCCCGTCGTCCAATCGATTATCGGGTTGTGCCGTCGCAGCCAATCGCGCCCCAGGAGCACGTCGCATCCGTCCAACGTCGTCGCGAGAAACTTCATGCTGAAGCCGAAATCGTCGCCGCACTCAATCCGCACCGTCCGTGTTTCTTCCAAAATCGCCAGAGGCGTCCCATCCACGAGGCGGGCGTCAATTTCGGGCAGACACCTGTCCAGCTGCAACTTGCATTTTTTTGCTGTCGCCAGATTGAAGAGGCTATGGCTAGCCCCGCCATCGACGAACATTTTTATTTTTTTCTTAACAACCGTGCCAACAACCAGCACAGGGTGATCCACATGTTCACCCCCGTTATTCGTCCGAGTGCGATCGATTGCATGAATCGGAACCACGACTCGGTGGGGATGGTGGGGTTCGGGCGACAGAGCACAGTCAGTAAGGGGCCCGTCTGTTACTGACTCTTCCCATTTCCCGGCTCCTTCCCGTCGTTCCTCTTTCCCTGCGTCCTGTCGGGGCAGTCTTTATACATGTGGCCCGGCTTCCCGCACTTAAAACACAACCCTGTAAAAGGGCGGTCTGGCGCATGGACTCCGTTAATCGTGGCCCGCTGGGTCTGTCCACGAAATCGGTTTCCCTCCCGAGAACTCGATCTCGCCCACTGCATCAGCGCGTCTGTGCTCTCGGCCAATCGGACGGCTTCGTTGAATGTTGTCGGGCGGTTTCGGCGCACCTCGAACTGTATCTCGTACTTGAGGCCGCTGATGTATTTATCCAACCGCTCCGCCTCCGCCATGTCGTCCACTTGGTCCGCGAGCGCCATAAACGACGCCGTGTAGTCTTGAACAGAAGCCAACTGCGACCAGGTACGCAGCTTCATGCGAGCGTGTTCCTTTGCGGATACATGCTCGAAACGCTCTCGTAAGGCTGCGCCCCACTGCTTCCACGTGCGAATTGTGGCCACACCGAATATCGATGATGCCCTCCCAATAGCAGAGTCCGAAGTCCCGTCTGCCGCATGTGTCACACCTGTCGGGGTCCCCGTGTCCAAGGTTCGTCGCCACCACTCAAGCGCCGGGCCTCGCAGAAGCGATACCGCGTAATTAATACGCGTGGCGTCGTCGTTGACGTTCGCTGCAGTGAAGAACACCTCCACGCCGAACAACCACCCCTTAACAGTAGTGTTCTTGTCGGTAGGGTTGAACGGGGGCGGGCTCGTAGGCTTTATCTTGATTGTTGTCACTGCAACTGTTGTCGCTGCCGCCGCTCGCTGCCTATCTTCTTCTTCGAAGCCGCGTGTGAGCTCCTCCAACGGATTGCCGCTCACCGCTTGACCAGTGCTCTCGCCTTCTTCAGCGGGCGACTCCTGGCGCGCTTCACCTCGCGCCTGGCGTAGCTCGTTGTTTTCTTCACGTAGTCTCTCCACCTCTGTCGTTAACGCCTTCATGCCTGCCGACATCTCCGCCACTTGCTGCATCAACGCGTCAAATGCCGCCTGGTCCATGAGTCGCAAGCTACGTCTAACAGGCAAGTGGGTCTCCGTGACTATCCGGCAACAGTGCAAGCGCAAAAGCTATCGGAGTCGGGCAAGTTTAATTTAATAAACTTTGCAACCAACCGCTTTGCAGCCCACCGTACCAGTCACACCCGTGCCTCTAAACTACCCTGGAAAAGCGGGGTGAACTAGGAAAGTAGCTCTGATACCAGGTGTTATGAGTTGTCAAACAGAGTTGCGCGGAATAACGAATAACGAGGCTGTGACTCAATGAACTGACGATACAATGAAAGACATGCGATTATATAGCGAGGCAACCTAACTAGGCGGGAACCTCGGGAACACGAGGTTGAGTGCAGGTTGGGCAAAGGAAAGCCGAAGGCGACGCGAGGTTGCTTCGGCAGCAAGCAAAGCGGCCGAACGTGCACTTCCGAAAGTTGGGGTTGTACGCGGTTGAGTAAACCCCAGTAAGGAAAAAGGGTTTTTCCTTACATGAGCCCTATGGGTTCTTTGGCCAATAAAAATGGTGAAAGCGTCGTGTACACGTCAGCCCCCTAACCACCGACGACCTACACGAAAAAGTATCATCCCTGGGTGTTTGCGCGTGCTCGGCTGGGGGAATGATTTCCAGGTCTGGTCCGGATCACAACCTTGAAATTATCGCCAACAACCCCCTTCGAGCTTTCACGAATCACGATCACCTTTCGTTTCATCTCGGCCTGCCCGAGCCAAATCCAGTGGTATGGATGTCACCCTGAATTCACTGGACCGAATCCGACAGGCCGAAGCGGAGCCCTGCAACAGCTGGCCGCACCCGAACCAAGTCCTGACGTGCGCCCCGACCTCCCCAGCCGAGACTGAGCAGCAGGTGGCAGTGTGATGTGGTGCGGACTGCCCCAAGTGCCCCCACGCAAGGGCGGGAATGGGGGGAAGAATCAATCGGATTCGTGCGCTAGCGCAATCCTACAGTAGGGGCTAGAGACCACCGCAGACCGAAACAAAGCGGAGGGCAGCTGCGCGGTGGGGCGGCGGTCGGTCCATCAGTGATATGACTCGAGGCTATGGCAGCAGGGAGGAGAGTAGCCCACTGCAGACTTCGTTCTCTACAATAGCTATAGCTCTCAAACAATACGCTGGACGCTACTAGGCTCCATTAGTTCTCCTGGAATTGCGACTTGCTTCGGTCCCGTTCAATTATCCTGTCTCAAGCACTTCCCCGCTTAGCTGCGTATAGAGTTCTACGTGAAGTTTGGCGTGAAGTTTGAAAGCCAAGCAGGAGTCCGTATTGTGAACGTTAGGACCTCTCTCTCGTTGCCGTTCGGCCTTACTCTGATTCCGCACCGAGTCGTTCTGTCACTACCATCATGTTCGTTGGTAGAGATGGCGGAGAAGCACATGCATCCACGTCATTGACCGTGGTTGCTGACGCCAACGTGGCAATGCTGGCAACAGCACAGACCGTAGGGCCGTCCACGTCAGCATCCCCAATTGTAACCGTTACAGCTCCAGGCTTATCACCCAATGACTCGAACCCGTATTCATCCGCAAAATCTAATCATGTGACGTCTTCCAATCAAGTGACGACATCTGTAACTCCGCGAACCAACACTCATCAGGGCCTTCGGCACTGTCAGCAGCATGGAGCAGCGTCGTCGCATCCTAACCATCCGTCCACACAATTGCCACCACATCGACGGCTAGGACGGATTGCGCGTAGTTTATCATCTAAGGTGGACGGAGGCGCCATGATCGGTTCGTTGCTTCGAGCCGCGATGGCGGGAATCTCGCTCAAGCGGGTCTTCTACACTGTCCTCGCTATAGGATTCATCGTTGTGGGGCTCGTCGCAATCAACGTGGAACAGGTAAGGCTCCTTGCTTCGAGGCCTAGGTTGCTGAGTGCCCATGCTAACTGAGCCCTTCGCATTACCGTTATGGATGAATCTATTCAGCTTAGCGACGCGCAGCGGTCCATTACGAAACGAGCGGTCAACCGTTGGAGGAATCATTTTTATGGTTCATCGGTGCACGCTAAGGATGGTCGGATGATTCTCTCCCTCGTCATGTCCCCCGCACGTCGCCGTACCAACCCCCCCCAGTTGCTCAAGAGCTTCCTTCTCTGGCTCAAGAACGACGTGGGCGTGTGGGGTCCGGTCATCATGTACGTGCCGTTCTTCCCTCGTGCTCCTCCTCACTATTGTTCTCGTATCAACCCCTCTCGTAACAGTTTTCCTCGTCGCAATTCCCTTCGTAACAATCTCCCTGGTAACATTGTCCCTCGTAACAATATCTTTACAAAATGCGGTTGCTTAGTCTCTGCAATTTACCCGTCGCTCTCGCACGGGCCGCTCATCTATGGTTCTCTCCTTCCCCGCCGTTGCATTCCCTTCCCCCTTTCAGGGCCCTCGCGTATATACCACTCAATATCCTTGCGCTTCCGGGCGCTATCCTAACGGTAAGCAACTGCCATACAGGAAAACTTCTACTTGTTAGTGCAAACATGACATTCTTCATCATGATACGAACGCCATATATCTCATCGCGCCACGAACGTGCTATGAACTTGCATCGGCTGCATGACTCTTCCGCCTCCCGCTTCACCTATACCCTTTCTCTGCTCCCTCCACTGCCCCCTCTGTCCCCTGCTCTGTCCCTACTCTGTCCCTCCTCTTCCCTCGCCCTCATGCGCGCAGCTGGGAGGGGGCTACGTGTTCGGGCTGCTCGTGGGCTTCGTCGCGGACTCGCTCTGCTCCACGAGCCCCATCTCTTCCCTTCTTTTACCCCCTCTCCCCTCTCCTTTCCCCTCGCCCCCATTCTCCCCCCTCGCCGCCGTGCGCGCAGCTGGGAGGGGGCTACGTGTTCGGGCTGCTCGTGGGTTTCGTGGCGGACTCGCTGGGCTCCACGGCCGGCGCCACCGCCGCCTTCCTCGTCGGCAAAACCGTGCGTCCCGCGCTGCCCGCCCTTGCTCGAACCCCATCCGCGCTGGCCGCCCTTGCCTGAATCCCATCACCGCTGTCTATTGTTGCTCAGAGCTGATTCTTCCCACAACCCCCCTCTCTTGCTGCCATGGCCCTCTCTCTTGCATCTGTGCTCCCTTCCGTGTAGCACCTCGTCCGTAGGCGACTCTTTTGATGACTTTCGCCTCACACCCTTGTCCGCCACCCCGCTTCCCCACACCCGTCCCATGCTTCACGCCCCACCCGTTCCCGACACTCCACCCATTCCCGCTAACCCTCCCATGCCTGGCCGTTCGCCCATCACCTCATGCGGTGCTGATCGGGCGCTCGTACGTCTCGGCGAAGCTCAAGGAGTACCGGCAGTTCCAATCAGTTGCTCACGCCATTCCTCCCCCCTCCCCCCACCGTCTCCCCCCTCCCCACCTTCAACGACCTCCCAATGCCCGCCCCCCGCCCATCACTTCGTGCGGTGCAGATCGGGCGCTCATACGTGTCAGCGAAGCTCAAGGAGTACCCGCAGTTCCAGCCAGTCGCACACGCCATCTCCAAATCCGGATTCAAGGTCACTCCAGTCTCCCTGCACTTCCTTCCCACTACCGGCTTCCCTCTCCTTCCTCCTCCCCATCTCTTTATCCCCCCGTCTTCCTCCCCCCCCCTCCCCACCCAACCACACCCCCCCCCCTCCCCCATCAAATCCCCACACTTCTACCCTCTCCTCCATTGAATATGCCCACTTCCCCATTCATCCCCTGTCCCCCACTCCCCTGCTTTTCTGCATCTTAAACCTTGAGTTGCTCAGCCTCCTCTCTCCCTATCACCTGAAACTATTTCGCCTCTATCATCCGCTTCCTCGCCCCCTCATGCTCCCTCCCCCCCTCACGCCTCCCCACCCCCTCATGTTCCTCCGCCTTCTCATGCTCCCTCCCCCCCTTCACGCTCCCCCTCCCCGTCATTTCCCTCCGCCTTCTCATGCTTCCCCGTCACATGACAGATCGTGCTGCTGCTGCGGCTGGTGCCCATCCTGCCGTTCAACGTGATGAACTACGTGCTCTCCGTCACGCCCATCAGCCTCTCCTCCTACGTCCTCGCCTCCTGGATCGGCATGATGGTCAGTGCTGCCCGCAGCAATGCATGCAGGCATGATGGTCAGTGCTGGGATTATAAAAGCATGAAGGAATGATGGTCAAGATGGGGGTGATGCAGGCATGCTGGTCAGTGCTTGCAGTGTGTGGGGGAGTGGATGATGGGTGTGGGTGATGAGTGAGTGAGTTTGTGTGTTGCTGTCTGTCCGCCGATATTGCATCACTATGGGGTCTCATCAGATTGTGCGTACACCACCTCCCCACTTCCCTCTCCCACGGAGTTCGCCTCTGTGTGTCTGGCCACCACCAAGGCGTGTTTCCCTGTCCCTTGTCCCTCTCTTCCGTGTTTCCCATGGTATAAATGCGTTCCTCCCGTTGTCTGTACTTCCCCCCTCCCTTGTTTTCCCCTTCCCCCTCCCGCATCCCCAACAGCCCATCACATTCACGTTCGTGTATCTGGGCACCACAATAAAGGACATATCAGAGATTGGCTCCCCAGGAGCTGCAGGGGCCTCGCAATGGGTCAGTGCGCTTATGGCCGGGGCGGTGCCTTTAAGGGGGATGGTGCTTATGGGGGGGTGGGGTGGTGCTTATGGGGGGTTGGTGCTTATTGGGGAATGGTGCTTATTGGGGAATGGTGCTTATTGGGGGGGATGGTGCTCATGGGGGGAATTGGAGGGGTGGTGCTTATTGGGGGGTGGTGCGCATCTGTGAGGGGTGTGCTTTATGCACGGCCATGTGGTGCGCTGCTGTTGTGGCAAGTACCTTGCTATCCCACCATCTTAAGTCTTGCTGCATGTGGCATTTAACCCTTCCTCCCTCAGCTCTGTGCCTGCACCTCACTCTCTTCTGTGTGTCCCCCTTACCGGCCTCCCTCTCTCCCTGCGTCCCCCTTTCCCTGCTTCCCCCCTTCCCTGCGTCCACCCACCCCTTGCACTCTTCGTCCCTGTGCGAATGGCGAATCTGCAGTGGATGCTTGGGGCCGGCCTTGCTGTCACCCGTGAGTGTTCACACACTGCTACTTTCATCTGTTGGTAACATCCATCCATCCATCCATCCATCCATCCATCCATCCATCCATCCATCCATCCATCCACCCACCCACCCCGCGTGCCACCTGCCTGCTTCTTTTCCCACTGATTTTACCACACTCGCTGCAAGGGTCCACTATCACATGCCACCCACTCATGCTATTCCTGCTCTCCCTACTCCTCCCATCGCCCTGCTGCAGTCGTGGCGACTGTGCTTATAACGAGGATAGCAAAGGACGCTCTGCAGAGAGCAATAGAGGAGGACCAGCAGCAGCACTGCAGCCTGCTCTCGCCCCCTGCCTCCTGCTCCTCCACCCCCACCCCCCTCACTCCCCACACCAACACATACCACGTCCCATCCCCACACTCCATGGAAGCTTGCTCTAGTAGCAGCAGCACTTGCTCCAGCAGCAGTGCAGCCAGCAGCACCACCAGCAGCAGCACCACCACCACCAGCAGCAGCAGCATGGGCTCAGAAAGCCGATCTGCCGTTCTCACCATCCCTGATGGAATTCACCCCTCCGTGGGTTCCCTGCTCTCAACACACACCTCATCCTCTCACTATGCTCCTGACGTAGCCTCCTTCACCTTCCTGGAAGCACCTGACCAACCACCTGACGAGGCACCTGACAGAGCGTGCGTGGATCCCAAAGGATTGGCTGTGTGCTTTATCACGGTGAATGAGACGAGTAAACAATGGGTGGATGGGGCAAATAGGCTGAGGGTGGAAGGGGGAAAGCGACAAGCAATGCTACCCAACAGTTACGCTGCATGAACAGAAAGGTGGTGTTACACATAAACAGATATTGTATGGAGTCCTGGATGTGCTTAGGCACCCACTTGTCATAATGTCAGCTCTATCCTGCACAACAAAATTACCCTCTGTTTTTCAGAGTGCAAGCAAGCCACCAAACCAACAGCAAGATGCAATCTAGTGTTTTCCCACCGACACCAGTGTTCCCAACCAAACCAACCAACAGCAAGACGCAGTGCAATGTGAGGGCAAGGCCAGCCAGGGCAAGGCCCACGGGGAACTGAGGGCCCCTCCCCTCCCCAATTCATAGTCGCCCCTCCACACTCATCTGTCCTCTCTCCACTCATCCCCCCTCAACTCATCTCCCCTCCACTCATCGCCCTCCACTCATCGCCCCTCAACCTCCTTTACACTCAAGAGGGTCTGAAGGCTCTTCCCGCCAGCTGACTTCATCACTGCACTATCCCCACCACCCTCCTCCCGCCGCCCCACATCCTCTTCACTGATTCCCAGCGCCGACGCCACAGACATCATCAGCTTGGATCGTGTGCTCCCGCCAGCTCCCCCACTCTTACCCGATGCTTCACTCACACCCGATACCCCGCTCTTTTCAGATATCTCGCTCACACCACTCATGGGGCCAATGCCACTCATCACACCGCTCTGCACCCCACTCATCACACCGCTCTGCACCGTGCTGTTAATCGACGAGTTCATCACCCCAGAAGAAGGAAAACTGATCCCCGATCCAACGGCTGTGCTCGTGCCACCCAGGCTGCCCACGCTCCTCAGCCCTGCGACACTCCCCACACTGCTCGCCCCATCACCCCCTCCAAAGAGGTCATTCTCGCCCTCATACTCCTCCGTGTACTTATGCAGCAGCGCATCCAACCTTCTCACCACATCCTTCATCTCAGGGCGCCGGGAACCGGGTGCCTTGATGCAGTCCAAGGCCAGGTCTGCCCACTCGACAATGGCCTCCTCGGGGATTTCCAGAGTCTTGTCTCTCAGCTCGTCCAGCGTGTATGCTGCTACCATCTTGCTCACCTGTGTGGGCGGGTGGGAGAGGGTGGGGGGGGGGGGGGGGGGTGGTGGGGGTGAGATTTGGGGCGCCTCAAGACAAGTCTGCCCACTCTACTATAGCCTCCTCGGGAATCTCCAGAGTTTTGTCTCTCAGGTCGTCCAGCGTGTATGCTGCTACCATCTTGCTCACCTGGGTGGGTGGGTGGGAGAGAGTGGGGGGGTTGGTGGGGGTAAGATTTGAGGCGCCTCAAGACAAGTCATCCCACTCCACAACAGCCTTCTGAACGATCTCCAGTGTTTCGTCTCTCAGGTCCTCCAGCGTGTATGCTGCTACCATCTTGCTCACCTGGATGGGTGGGTGGCGGGGGGGAAAGGGAGGGGAAAGGGGGAAGCGAGGAGAGAAGGGGGGAGAGGGTAGCAGCATGAGGGTACACTTGGAATGGATGGTTAAGTGCGCACGAACGAGAATGCAAGAATGCGACAATACGAGAATTTGTGCCATGCAGTCCTATGCTGATGTGTCAGCGCATGATTCGTCTGAATTTCAACTCTCAGGAACATGCTGACGTGTCACTCACCCATTTGCCGATGTGGGAGCTGCCGCCCATGGTGACCTTGCGCGCTGTCAGCATCTCCAGCAGCACCACTCCGAAACTGACACGTGGCAGGCGGGGGGTACGTGGGAGGAAACGGATGAGAGCGTTGAAGGGACAAGGATGTGCTTGATTGGGGTCGATTGGGGCACGAGTCACAGGGCATGGGATATAGGGCATGCATGGGTATGGGGCATGGATGGGGTATGGGGCATGAGGCATGAGATGCATGGTGGGGGTATGCACGAAGACTCGTGGGGTGTTAGCACAGCACTCATGGCTCTCAGCAGCACCCACCTGTACACGTCGCTCTTGGTGGTGACCATCTGCGTGCGGTTGTAGTCCGGGTCCACATACCCCGGCGGCTTGCCTTTTGAGCCAACTCAAAAGCCATTCGTAAACGCAACGGCCAGCAGCACCACGGTGTCAGCCTGCAAGCACCACTAATAGCACCCACGCACCTGTAGACATCGCTCTTGGTGGTGACCATCTGCGTGCGGTTGTAGTCCGGGTCCACATAGCCCGGTGTGCCCGCTACCCTCGTGGCGTTCTCATCCCCAACCTTGAGTGTCTTGAGCAGCCCAAAATCCGCGATCTTGGCCTGGCAGGGCAGGCAGGGGGCGCAGGAGGGTGGGGGAAAGCAAGGAGGGGGAGAAAGGGGATGGCTGAGGCCTCTCATCCCCCACCTTGAGCGCCTTGAGCAGCCCAAATTCGCGATCTTGGCCTGGAGGGGCGGGCATTGGGGGGGCAGGAGGGCAAGTGAGGGGGGTGGCTTAAAGTGAGGAGGGGGAGTCGCGATGAATGGTAACGTGACATCATGTTACTGAGCTTGCTGCTTGGGAAGCAGGATCAGGTAAGGCTCACAGTGAGGTGCGGGCTAGACAACTCTAGAGGCCAGGAGCTCATAGTGAGGTGCGTGCTAGGCAAGTTTAGAGGCTAGATGATGGAGGCTCACAGTGAGGTTGCTACTTGGAAAGCAACATCAGTTAAAGGCTCACGGTGAGGTTGTCCCCGACGAGGATGTTGGCGGGCTTGATGTCGCGGTGAATGATGGGATTCTCAAAGCCGTGCAGATACGCCAACCCCTCCGCTGCCCCCACCGCCAGCTTCAACCGCTGCCGCAGCGTCAGCGGGCCTGCGCACAGGAGGGGGAAAGAGTGGGGGAGCGGCGAGGGAGGTAAGAGAGTGGAGGGGAGAGATGGTGAGGTGGCTGGATGGTGAGCTTGACACACTGAAGGCGCTTCTGTGAGGTGCTCGCTCTCTGTCTCATGAATCACTCAACTCACTTGGGCTTGTGCATGTGGCACTCACGCTTGGGCTTGTGCATGTGGCACTCACGCTTGGGCTTGTGCATGTGGCACTCACGCTTGGGCTTGTGCATGTGGCACTCACGCTTGGGCTTGTGGATGTGGTACTGAAAGTCACGGTTGGCCACAAACTCGTAGACGAGGATCTGCTCCTGCTTGCCGCTCTCCACGTTCATGTCAAGGCAGAACCCCAGCAGCCGCACCAGGTTCTTGTGGTTCAGACTCGCCATCGCCCGCACCTGGCGAGGAGGTACGGGAGGTATGGGAGTTGAAATGTGATGAGAAAGACAGTGAATGCCAGAATCTGACAAAATGCTACTACAGGCTACCACTTATCTTAACCTGACCATGAAGGCAGGGAAGTTCTAGCTGAAGCAACACTTAGGAGAAAGCAGCATTCGGATGCGGCGGTGGACAAGGAGAGAGTGAGAAGCTCGGTCTGTCCTAGGTCCTGGGAGGTAGTGCGCTTGGTTTGCGCACCAGGGGCTCAGCTCACGACGCGCACTCCATACTCGCTACAGGCCTCCTCACCTCCATTTCAAAGTCGTTGGACATGAGAGTTTGCCTCTTGATGGCCCAGAGCTGCCCGTTAACCGGATTGACGCCCTTGTACACGACGGCGAAGCCTCCCTCGCCCAGCACGTTCTCGTCCGCCCAGTCGTTGGTGGCCTTGCGCATCGTTGAAATTGAGAACTCCTGACACACGTCCAGGTCGTCCCACCGGCCTACGGGGAGGGGGGGAGAGGGAGGCGAGGGGGTGGGGTTGCGATCACGTTCTCGTCCGCCCAGTCCTTGGTGGCCTTGCGCATTGCGGTGATCGAGAACTCCTGACACACGTCCAGGTCGTCCCAGCGCCCTGGGGGAAGGGCGAGAGGGTGTGGGGGGAGGGGAGTGTAAGAGGGGTTTGAGAGAAGGACGCGAGGGTTGAGGAGCGAAGATGCACAACTCTTGGATTGCGAGCAACACACACACGGCCAGAAAGCCCAACCAAAAGTTCTGACACGCGTTTAGGTCATCCCAACGCCTTGAGGGGGCCTTGGGGTGGTTTTGACGAAAGGGCCGACCCTCGGAGCACGGCTTCTGGTAGTAGACCTAAACATGAAACGTTCCCCCAGTGAAACAGGGGCAGGATGAATTTCCGCCCAAACTGCAAGCAGCGTGTGACAGTTGATTTGATACAACGCGTGCATGAGCAGGCAGGGGGGCAGCACTCACGTCTCTTCTTCTTCCGGAGCATGACGACTAGCACAGCAGCAATGAGGGCGAGCCCCATGAAGCACCCCACTGCGATGCCCACGATGGCCCCCGTTGACAGCGCTGTAGAGCAGAACAGAGGGAGGGGGGAGAGGGGAGGTGGGGGGGGAGGATGGGGAAGCGTTGGGAAGCACATGTGAGTCTTCTCATTGTGCACGCAAAATGTGAACCGTCGCAAACACACGAAGCAATCGGAGAGGCACTCACAGGACTTGGTGGTCTGAATGGCACAGGAGGAGCCATTGCCATTGGCAGCAGGCACGGTGGAATACGGTGCATTGCAGCGACACGTGAAGCCCTGATCGCTGCTCCCCGGCTCAGGCGGCACGCAATCCCCCACCCCGTTGCACACGCCGCTCTCCGTGATGCTGCAGAACGCCGCACACTCCGCCGCCGGCCGCTGCGTCTCGTTCACGAGGCACCCCGCCTCGCCACGCACTGCCAGGCAGTTCTGCAGCAGGCTGGCCTGGCCCTTCTCGTACGCCACGGAGACCCGATACTCCTGTCGCCCGGAAGAGGAATCTGCCGCCACAACCCCGCCAGCAGTGGCCCCAATGGAGGCAATATCATGGTAGTCGACGGTACGAACAACGGGTGTGGGGCAGATCATGCTGCCAGCTGCGTACACAAAGGGCTCTCCATAGAAGTAGTTGTACGCGAGGTTGAGGGCGGCGGATCTGGGGTTCTGATCTGTGGGCTGGTTGTTCATGCCCTTGAAGTCGCGGTTTATGGTGCCGTAGAACGAGTTGTTGCGCACGTCACTAGGGGGAGGGGGGAAGAGAGGCGGGAGAGGCATTTATGGGGATGGATGGCTTGTGTAAACGGGGATTACTCGAGCTGGTTGTTCATCCCCTTGAAGCCACATATTACAGTGCCATAGGAGCAAGAAATGCAGGGAGTATGGGGAACATAAAGGGGCAGTGTGCTCACCGGTAACTAAGTGCTCACAGGTAGTTGAGCACTCACGGGCATGTGGCACGCACAGAAGCAGCGCACTGACAGGTAGTTGAGCACTCACGGGCATGTGGCACGCACAGAAGCAGCGCACTGACAGGTAGTTGAGCACTCACGGGCATGTGGCACGCACAGAAGCAGCGCACTCACAGGTAGTTGAGACCGAGGAAGTCAAACATGCAGCGTGGCAGCGGCCCGTACATGCGGTTGTTGCGCGCACCACTGGTGGTGGGGCAGGAAGGGGAGGAGAGGCACCGGATGAGCAGGACGGCGGAAAAATGGGGAAATGAGTGCAGCGGAGAGGATGGGCAGGAAAGGGGGGACGAGAGAGGAACAAGGAGCATGCATTGTCGAAGCACATGTGTCCTGACACATGGCACTGAATCATGAAAGGGAAGCATGTGGTGCAGAGCCGTACCCGTAACTCACAAGTACTCAAGTCGCTTCAGATTGCAGAAGGAGGCTGGCAGAGAGCCCGAGATCTGATTGCCGTCCAGCAGACTGGAATACGCGGCAGGGGTAGGGGGTGAGTGGGTGGAGCGAGCAAAGAGGACGTTCACAGAGGTGAGGGGCAAACCGTGCAAGAAAAGGGTGACAATGGGTTGAAGGAGAGTGGGGAGAAAAGAAAACGGGAGGCAGGAGGGACTTGAAACGTCTCAAGAAGGAAAATCAGTGGAAAATGAGAGGACAGACGGGAAGTGTAAGCGCTATTTGTGATTCAACTGGGCGAATAGAAAGAGGGGCAGCAGTGAGGTGGGGAGGGGAGGGAAGGAGGGGCGGGAAAGAACGCACAGCTGTCGCAAGTTTGAGAGGGAGGCGAAGAAGTCAGGGAGAGTGCCTGAGAGCTGATTGCCGGCCAGCCATCTGCACCGCCGGCATGCAGGGTTAGGGAGGCAGGAGCAATGAGGTTGGGAGCAATGGAGTTGGGTGCAAAGGGCCTGGGTGCAATGGGGTTGAGTGGAAAGGGCTTGGGTGCAATGGGGTTGAGTGGAAAGGGCTTGGGCGCAATGGGGTTGAGTGGAAAGGGCTTGGGTGCAATGGCAATGGCCGGGGATGTAAAATGGGGATTGCCGGAACAGCAACAAAGTGAAATTGAGAGGGAGGATGAAAAGCAAGGAATGAGATGGGCACAGGGAGTGCAAGAGTGTGCTGGGAAGGGAGGGAATGAAATGGAAGGAAAGGGAAAGAATGAGATGGAAGGGAAGAGAAGGCTGGAAGAGGGGCGAAGGAGAGCACTTGGCATACACACGTTGTCACATGGCATGGCCACAGACGCCTTCTCTTCTCACATTGTATCGAGGGCCGTGAGAGCCGAGAGAGAAGCTGGAATGGTGCCCGACAGCTGGTTGTAGTGCAGAGTGCTGCAGCATGGGGGGCATAGCGCACCGAGTATGAAGCATGGGTATTGAGCAATAGCCAACAGAGTATGGATCTCGGAGTACAGAGCTCAGCGCATGGAGCATGGAGTACAAAGCATAGGGCATGGAGCATGGAGCATAGAGCAAAGAGCATAGGCCATGGAGCATAGATCATAGAGCATAGGGCATAGAGTCCACAAGACATCTGACGTGGCCCGTAAAACGTTACAGACGCTGACAATTACAGTGGTGGTTACCACACGGCTGCTGGAGTACGATGATGGTTACTGCAAGGGACGGCAGCAGCACATGGCATGCTGCATCTCCCAAAACAAGGATGCTCAAGCTATTTGCTAGTCACGCACGCCATGCATAGCCTGCTGCCATGCATAGCCTGCTCTGCCATGCATAGCCTGCTGCCATGCATAGCCTGCTCTGCCATGCATAGCCTGCTCTGCCATGCATAGCCTGCTCTGCCATGCATAGCCTGCTCTGCCATGCATAGCCTGCTCTGCCATGCATAGCTCGCTGCCATGGCTTACATGGCATTGAGGGAGGTGATTGTAGTGAGCGAGTCTGGGATGGAGCCAGTGAAATTGTTGAACCCGAGGTATCTATGGCAGTGTGGGGCACACAATAACAACGTGAACAACAACGTGAACAACAACGTGAACAACAACGTGAACAACAACGTGAACAACAACGTGAACAACAACATGAACAACAACGTGAACAACAACGTGAACAACAACGTGAACAACAACGTGAACAACAACATGAACAACAACATGAACAACAACGTGAACAACAACGTGGGGCTGAGAAACGTGTGCTTCTGGGATGCGTGTCTTTGAGAGGTGTGCAGGTGTGCGCAAGTTGGAAAATTCTCAACACTCAACTCAACAGCACAGCACAGCACTCAGGGTGCGTCGGCATTTTCAGTGCATCCACATGAGGAGGTGCAGAAGGGAGGGCAAAGAGACGCAGATAAGAGGAGGGGGGGCAGGAAAAGAGCAGAGGATGTTACTGCACGGAGCAGAGGCATACAGAGCGGTGAGGCTGGTGTTCCACTGGGCGAAGTCAGGCAGAGGGCCACTAAACGAGTTGCCCTCTAGATTGCTGCGAGACAAGCATGGGCGGAATGGGAGGGTGTTGTGCGAGGGAGAGGGGGAGAGTTGAGGCAGACAGTAGGACACGATGGGAATGGCACAAACACCAGCACAGGGCAGCAGGGAAGTCAGAAGGGAGAAAGAAGGCGAGGAAGTAAGAAGGACCCACAGCACGTTAGGCTGCACTCACGGCACGTTAGGCTGCACTCACAGAGTGCCAAGCTCGGTACTAGCGTCGAGGCTTTGAGGAATGCTGCCTTGGAAATGATTGTCTGAGAGGTACCTGGAATAGGGCACAGCACAGGAGAGAGCACAGACAGCACAGACAGCACAGGGGAGAGCACAGACAGCACAGGAGAGAGCATAGACAGCACAGACAGCAGGAGAGAATCACAGCGAACCTTTTCATAGGAAGCTGCAAGGTGAGTGAGTGAGTGATGGGGAGGCAAACAACGACGCATGGGTCAGTGGTGCAACAGATTGCAACGGGAAAAAATCTTATGGGAGGGAGGGCGGGAGGGAGGGACGGTGGGAGGGAGGGATGGTGGGAGGGAGGGTGAGTGAGAAAGGGAGGGATTCGACGTACAGCTCTACGAGTGCGGGGAATTGGAAGAGGAAGGCCGGCAGCTCCCCGGAAAATTGGTTGTGCTCCAAGTGGCTGATGGTCGTATGGACGGATGGAAGGAAGGATGAGCGCATGCGCGCAAGAAAGGCAAGAGGGGCGCATGGAAGTGTGCAGGAGGCAGCAGGCAGGTGAGGAAGGATCGCCGGAGTGAGCGGAAGAGGAGGAGAGGGAGGAATAGCCGAATAACCGAGACAGGGAGAGGTGCGAGTCACTCGTACTATGTCACAGCAGAATGATGACCGCACGTACACAGCACACTCACAGAAACTGCAGATTGACGAGCTTGGTGAGGGAGTCTGGAATGGACCCCTGGAGTCTGTTGTATGACAAGTCGCTGCGGCAGAGGAAGATTGGAAGCAGAAGATGCCGTTTGAGAGGAGAAGATTGGATGTGGGAGGAGGGGGGTATGGGGTTGGACATTAAGTGCGGGGAGAAAAGCAGGGGGTCAGTGGGGAAAAGAGGGAAACGCATGGGATGCATGGGAGAAGGGATGGTCTGACGTGGATGGGATAAGAGCAGGCTGGCAGCACACTGAGTAACAGGCAGGCAACACAGCACACGTACAGTCCCATGAGTGCGGTGAGGTCCAGAAGCACTGGCGGAAGCTCCCCTGTCATGCTGTTGTTACTAATATCGCTGTCGGGTTTGCGGGATGGGGTGATTGGAGAGTGAAGTTGATAGAAACTCTAGGTAGTAAGTACGCCCCTTAAGACGTCCCACTTGCATTGCTGCAGCACGATTTTAACAGAAAAGGCCAGAATTTCCGTGGCTTTCAGCCACTGCCACCACTTGAGGCTGAAGCATTAAGGCGTGCACGAGTGGGCCGGTGCACAGATGCATGCTACTGACACTTCTGAGAATTTCCAGAAGCTGGGGCACGGATGATGGTACTGACAAACTCTCGAGAGAGGCGAGCTTGGAGAACTCCGGAGACAGCACTCCTGAGAAGTTGTTGGAACCAATTTCACTGGGGGGCGAGCGGGAATGGGGGAAGGGACGAGGAAAAGAGAGGGAGAACGGGAACGAGTGAGAGAGGGAGAACGGGAACGAGTGAGAGAGGGAGAACGGGAACGAGTGAGAGAGGGAGAACGGGAACGAGTGAGAGCGGGAGAACGGGAACGAGTGAGAGCGGGAGTGGAGTGGAAAAGAACTGTCTTGGAGGTGGGCACTCCAGATGGCGGCTGGATAGTTGGACCAGTGGTAACACGAATCTTTTCTATGCCCAACGGGACCAGTGCAAATAAGGCTCTTTCGATGCCCTCAGAATGCACGGGGCTCACATGGTGGCGAGAGACAGCATGTTGGCTCACATGGTGGCGAGAGACAGCATGTTGGCTCACATGGTGGCGAGAGACAGCATGTTGGCGATGACTTCAAGCCCTCCTGACAGCTGGTTGCTGCTCAGAACCCTGCTCATCCCGAGCCGTAGCAGCATGTTGCCGCACCACACACACATACACACTTTCAATCAGCTCTGGGTTGATATCGCCTGTGCATGTGCATGTGCACGGGCATGGGCATGGGCATGGGCATGGGCATGGGCATGGGCATGGACATGGGCATGTGTATGGGCATGGGCATGGGCATGGCCATGGGCATGGGCATGCATGTGCGTGTCTCTGTTTTTATGTGTTTCCGTGCAGGCCACCTCAACCACAAGAAGCTCTATGCATGTGTGTGGGGCGCATGCACAGAGCAAACATCCGCGCACAGCAAGCTCAAACACGAAGCATGGACTCATGGCAGGGAGGGGCTTCATCAATCAAGCATGTGTGCATATCTTTGAGTCAAGACAAAGGGAAGAATGAATCTGCATGCAAATCACCCCGCATGAAGTAAGAAAGGGACTGAGAAGCGAGACGAGGGGGGGGGGAAGGAGGGGCCAGCAGGAGAGCATGCCTGCAAACTACAGCTGGCCATTGACTGAAGTGACTGGAACAACTTTTGGGGCGCCTCAAATACTATTGGTCGAAGTAACTGGAACTCACAACTCTTTGAGGGATGCGAGTCGTGTGAAGGCCTTGGGAATTGTTCCTGTAAGGCTGTTGCCACCCAACTTGCTGGCAAGGGGCGAGCAGACGCACGGGGCCAAGGCAAGCAAATTGACAGGCACCAAAAGGCAGCACTCAAAGGCTACAACAACAGATGCCCTCTAATTTTCCTGCAATGGCACTTTACTGTGACAGTTATGCTGGCATAAGAAGAAATGATAGCTAAGTCCTTCACGCTATGCTTGTTGGTGACACTGGAACATGAACGGGGATGGTATGGTATGCAGGCAACGACGAAACCAGGGGGGCGAGGGTTAGGGTGAGGAGAGGCTTACAGAGTGAAAAAGCTTACAGAGTGAAAAGGGATGGCAGACTGCCGAGGGCAGATGGCAGGGAGCCTTCAAACTGGTTGTCGTTGAGCAGGCTGGAGAGCGGACAGAGGGAGGAGAGAGAGCGGAGGGGTGAAGGGGCGGGGAGAGAAGATGGGAGGGAGCAGGAGTATAGGAGAAGGAAAGGGTAGACGGGAGGAGGGAGAGGGAGTATAGGAGCAGGAAAGATGAGACAGGAGGAGGGAGAGGGAGTAAAGGAGCAGGAAAGGGGAGACGGGAGATAGACAGGAGGATGAGGGGAAAATAGGCAGGAGGGAGAGAGGGAGGCAGGGAAGAGGGTGAAGCACTGGGAGCAATGGGGAGCATAGAATGTGACAATGAGGGGCACTTTGAGAAGGAGAGGGCACTAGCAGGCAGGAGAGGGTACTAACAGGAACTGACAGCAGGAGAGGGCACTGACAGGTACTGAAGGGCAGGACTGAAGGAGGTGGGCAGTGAGCCGCTCATTTGGTTAATGGACAAATCCCTGCAGTGACACCAGGCACGCATGTGGCCGAGTGGTTGGGAATGGATGACGTTCGGGTTCAATCAGGTTAGGGATCATGCTCCACTTATATCACGTGGTGGTTTTCCAATCAATGACAATGTCACTCGCATATGCCTTTGACTCAACTCAAAATCCCTCTGAATCAATGGCACTGCCACTGGCATGTGCAGGTGCGTCAACCAGCAACAGCAGCAGGGAAGCAGCAGGGGCCTCACAGAGTGGCGAGGCTCTGGAGGTTAGAGAAGGCGTTTGGGATGGAGCCCAGGAGGCCGTTGTCCTTCAGATTGCTGGGTTGGAGATGGTTGGAGAGGGTTGGAGAGGGTTCAGGAGTCAGTCATCATGAGCATTGCAAAGGCATGAAAGTGTTGGCGTGTGCAGTGCAGTGCAGACTAGGTTGGCTGGTAGTTCAGAAGTCATCATGAGCGTTAGAAGTGCGGGACGGCGCTGGGGTGTGCAGACAAGGTTTGCTGGTAGGCGTAAGCAGAAGCAGCTGACTAACCAAGGCAGAATAGGATTCTGATCTTAAAGTACCCGATAAGGGCTTATGGCAAGGGGAGTGAGTGAGAAAGGTGGGTAGTGCGGTGTGTGTGAGGTAGGCAAGACGCACAGCAGTGTGAGGGCAGTGAGGGAGGCCCATGATTCGGGGAGGAAGCCAACGAGACCATTCCCTACTGCCGAACTGCACATCCCACATGTGAATGCATTTGCGAGTGCACACACGAATGGGCGTGGTTGTGCCGTGCGTATAAGTGTGAAAGACACAGTGAGAGGAGGAAGTGGAAGAGGAGACACGTAAGGCCAAGAAACAGGAAGAAGACACTCAACCGTGGCACGGCAGTAGATCAAACCGGGCAATTGAGAAACGGCTAGCCACTGTTGATTTGAGTCAATTAACAACACAACTGAGAATTCTCAAAATCTCTCGGCAGTCATTCAACACAGTGGAACGAAACCACTAGAAAAACTTGGAGTGTCAGGAAAAGGAGGGGCATTTGAATGGAAAGAGGGCGACAAGGGCACGTGAAGGAAGCGTGGGGGGCTCACAACTCCTCGAGGTGCGAGAGGCGCGAGAGGTCCTGCGGCACGGCACCCGAGCGCAAGTGCCGTGAGTCCGAGATGGCACTGGTAGCATGTAGGGTGAGAGCGCAGGGAGCAAGGGTGAGAGCGCAGGGAGCAAGGGTGAGAGCGCAGGGAGCAAGGGTGAGACGGCAGGGGGGCAAGGATGAGAAGGCAATGGGCCACACGTAAGAAGGCAAGGGGGCAAGGGTGAGAGAACAAGCGGCAAGGGTGAGAACGGAGAAACAGATGATTGAACGAGCCATATGAGCGACGGAAACATGTCGTGTTCACTTCACATGGGTGACGAATTGTGGGGAATGCATGCGAAGACGAGGGAGGAAAAGCGGCCTATGCGCAGAGCAGCAGGCTTACAGGGTTCGGAGGTTGGTGAAAGTCCCCAGCCAGAGAGGCACGTCGTTGAAATAGAGGTAACTCAGATCGCTGCACAGAGCACAAAGGAAAATGGTTGACAAAAGAGGCAACACGGTTGAAATTAGATTCTTTGAAACACCAAGAGGCACGCTGTTAGAATGGATCTAAAAAAGCAAGGAGCAGGGACCTCAGAGGAAGGTGAGCAAGGAGCAGGGGCCTCACAGGAAGGTCAGCTTATCAAGGAGGACAAGCTCGGGAGGAAGCTCCCCGTCCACGTTCATATCCCCGAAATGCCTGGAGGTCGTGGTGGTAGGTAGGTAGATAGCAGAGGGGAGAGGAGGAGGGAATGCATTGACTCGTCTCATAACACACGTGGAGAGGAGGGTGCGAGCGGGGGAGACACCAAGGGAGGCGGTTGGTGGGGGAGGGGAGTGAGAAGATGGAGATGTACGATTTGTGACATTTGTGAATATTGGAGAATGTCATGAAACAACAAACACGTACAAGAAGTGGCGGTGGATTGAGCGACATACAGATGGCGTGCAGGGAACACGGAAGACCTCTGCTCCGGTGACAACGGTGAGAAGGCAATGACCTAAATACAGATGACGCAGCGTTTGAGCCGACTTAAATGCGACATAGTTGAGAAAGCAGTGGAGGACATACAGATGGCGCAGCTTAGGAAGCGATGTGAGGAAGGTCATGTCTTCGAGGCGGCCCGTCATGTTGTGCAACGATACCAGCTCCCTGCACCAATTCGCGTGTTACACATGCATGCACAGAGTGTTAGGGTTATTAGTATGACTTTTGAGGTGTCTTAAATGTCATGTTGTGCCACAACACCAGCTCCCTGTAGCAACCCGTGTGTTACATGCCCAGAGTGTGAAGGTTATGAGGATAGTTTCGGATATTAGTAGCAACGTTGACGCAAGCAGCAGAGGGAGCAGAAACACAAAGAATAGAGCATAGCACATCAGATCAGGGCTCTAGTGAGTACACACCTGCCACTGCCAGCATGCGACACGCTAGAGGGCTGCGCGGGTGCTATAGTGTCTCCAGCCGTCAGCAGGCCGTGCAAGGTTGGAGATGGAAAAGAGCTCTGTGTTTCCTCAACAACGGTTACTCACAAGTGCTCCAGGAGCGAGAGGCGCGAGAGCGAGGAGAAGGAGGCAAAGTCATCGATGAGGTCAACTGCCTTTACGATGGAGCTGGGGCACGGAGGGGGGTGGGGGGGTGAGGGCGGGAAGAAGGAAAAGAGGGGCGGGCAGAAGGAAAGAGGGGCGGGGAGAAGGGAAGAGGGGTGGGAGAAGGAAAGAGGGATGGGAGAACGAAAGAGGGACGGGAGAAGGAAAGACGGTCAGGGAGAAGGAAAGCGGGGCAGGAGAAGGAAAAAGGAGCAGCGGGGTGAGAAGGAAGAGGTGGAGTAGAATAAGTGACACAGCATGGGGCTTTGGAGGTAGCAGATGAGAAAAGCAGAAAGGACGAGAGGGAGGGGCAACAGCAGCGAATGAGAATGGGGTGATGCACGAGTTGTGAGAGGCTGAGAGCAACAGATGATGGGAGATGGACCTCAAGGTACAAGGAAGGGTTAAGGAAGGTACAAGGTACAAGGAATACGACACACACACACACACACACACACACACACACACACACGCACGCACGCACACGCACGCACGCACGCACGCACACACACACACACACACACACAAACACAAAAGCAGAGGAGAGTGGAGATAAAAGAGCGGCTGGAGAGGGCGCACAGGAAGGTAAGGGAGGTAAGGTTGCTGAGAATGCTGACAACGGTCCCTGTGGGATAGTTGTACGTCAGGTCCCTGCGATGGCCCAGAGACACGCACAAGCGAGAAAGCGGGGGTCAAGGACAGGTCAGGGGACGCCGGGACCAAGGTGCTTGAACATAGGGATGACTGATCTGGCCGTTTGTTGGGCGAACTGTGGTTACCAGAGCAAGAGGCGGAGTGAGCACGCACATGACAAGCTAGCTGATGATAGGTGGGCAAAACGGGGGGGGTCGATTGACCAGGACATTCGCAACGGGTTTGGGAGGCTGTGTAGTACAAATGTGACATTGCCCTCAGGGGTGAGTGTCATTGCACTCACAGGTGAGAGAGGTTGGAGGCAGCAGCGAGTGAAGGTGGGAGGGCGCCTTTGGATTCGGTATATGAGAGGTCACTGTCATGCCATACGAAACAAAGGAAGAACAGGGCGCCAAAAGGGTGGAAGAGAAACTGGGAGAAACGAACTTGCGACAAAAAAGGTGAGTGGCGGAGGTTGTAGTGAAGGAGAAGTGACAGGAAACGGGTGGGAGAAGGGAAAGCTGGAGGATAGATGATGTGATGTGAATAACATAAGAACGGTGAAGAAGCAGGCAGCATGATGCCGCATGAGAGGAAAACAACAGCTACACAAAAGCAAGAGAGCGCAAGGGACAACGCAGCATAGAACGATACTCAGAGATGTGACGGGAATAACAGAAGTATGACGAAGAAGAGAGGAGCATCATGCTACATGAGAGGAGGGCAACAGGTACACAAAAGCAAGAGAGTGAGAGGGAGAAAGCAGCAAGGAGCAATAATCAGACATGTATTGGAAGGCGGTGGAGTAGCCAAGCATGTCGAGCGTGCTGCCAAGTGCCACCATGCCATGCAGATCCCTGGAAGAGAACAACGGAGAAAATGGGACGAGTTTCCAGTCGACCCAGCACCCATGCCATACAGATTCTTCGTAACCAACAACCGCCCAAGGCAGCAGCTTCCCTGCGTAACGTGGTACAGTACAGTAGCCATAACGTAGCACAGTACACCAAAGTACAGTACAGTGCATAACACTGTACAGTACACTAAAGTCCAATTATCAGATCAATACACACCTCCTGAGGCTGCAGGGCAAGGCCAGGCACTGAAACAAGCACATGAACGGGCTGTGATGTGAATGCCTTGGGATGCATCCTCGGAGATACAATTTTGAATTGAAACTATTATTCATTCTGCCATGACGCATCATGAGGCTGTGGCTGCAGCATTCTGTGAGTGCATCCCGTGGAGCCACTGCATGCATCAGCACAGAGGCACATTCCACATGGCATGGCACTCACAGACGTCGCAGGGCCGTCATGTACTGCAATGCGCGAGCTGGAAAGGGCGGCACAAGGCCATTCTGAGACAGATCCCTGGCAGAGCGAGGTGCGGGGGAGAGGAGGGGACGGGAGTTAAGGGTGGAAGGGAGAGGAGAGGGGGGAGGGGAGGGGAGTTAGAGGGAAAGGGAGAGGGGAAGGAGGAGAGGGGATTCCAACACAAATCATAATAATCATCTTCTTTTCGTTTCAAGGCACTTTTTCTGGGACTCGCTGGACTGGCCCTACCTACAGGGAGTCTGCTTTCACGTCATGAATTGACAGTAACGCAGGTCACATGTGCAAGAAAGCAGGCTGAAGGAGTATGGCTCAGGCTGGCGGACGGTGCAGAGCGCAGGTGTGACTGACAGTATCTGCAGTTGTTTGAGTTGCTGGAAAGCGCGCACTGGGATGGTTCCGTTGATGGCATTGGATGGGAGGTCCCTGCATGCAGGACGCGACAGAGGGGAGTGAGCACGGGAAGACACACACCCACCCACCGAGCGAGCACACACGGATGCATGTAGGCAGCATGTATACACGCATACACACGCATACATGCACACGGACGCACGCACCACTCTTGCGCGCGCACACACATGCACACACGCACGCACGCGCACGCGCGCGCGCGCGCGCGCACACACACACACGCATGCTCACATGCACGCACGCACGCAACACACATGCACGCAGCGCGCATGCACACACGCATGCCACAACACATCCCACCTCCACACACACGTGGACAAGCATGAAGACGAGAGACGTGAGCCCAGGGTGCCTTGGGAGTGACGGTGAGCTGTAAGGAACCCCAGGCAGCGTAGAACACGGACTCGGGTGGCTCAGGTAACAGTTGTTAGTGTTGCTTACAGAACAGAGAGCGCAGTGAAAGCGGCTATGGCAGGCGGTATGGGTCCTTCAATGGGTGTCGATGCGGTGTTGCCATCCCACATGCTGCAGGTCAACAGACGCAGGCGAAAGGAAGGAAGTTCGAAAAGGAAAAAGTCCCAGAATTTAGGGTTGTGACGCCATGAGATCAAGTCATTTGCGTATACTCGGTACAGTAGCAGGCAGAACAACGCAATGACTCACAGCGCGGTGACCATGCCTTGCGGGTTGCACTTGATCCCAGTCCACTGCCGGCACAGGGTCGACTGCTTGCCATTGCCGGGCCACAGCCGCCACGCCGCGTTCAGCGCGATCAGCCCGTTCACTGCGGGGATCAATGCGGGTGACGGCCACACGGAGAGGGTGAATCCGTTTTATTCTTTCATTTTCAAGAGACAAATTCGCTGCGTTCCACGCGATCAGCCCGTTCACTGCGGGGAACAATGCGGGTGACGGCCACACGGAAAGAGCTTAGCATTACTGTATGCGAACAACACGAGGTTTTCCAGAAAGCTTTTATCGACGGTTGTCTAATAGCGTTCTAACCAACGGCGAAACGCGAGAGTGATTGTGAGAAAGGCAGAACTCACGCTGTGACTGCGCAAGCGTAACAGGCGCTGGTTTAGGAGTAGAAGGGGGACCTCCTGGCACTGCTGGAGTCGGTAATCGCTCCAGCAGGTCGTGCCTGACATTGTATCCATAAGTTAATGACTCCGAGTCGAAGCTGCTGCTGTGCGGTTTCGCGGGAATCGCGAGTTCTCCGGCGAGGCCAGAGGCCCAGTTCTGAAGCGAATGCTGACGGTGGGTGCCATGGTGAAACGCGCTGGCGTTAGGTAAGCATCCTAATGCACGAATCGCAAGGAGGAGAGTTAAGAAATTGGACGAGGTTATTGTTGCTACTGCACATGCCTTCTTCCTGTCCGCCATGCCTCTCCGTTTTAAGGTTAAACTATGCTCGTTGTGTCGACGCGGAAGGCTCGTATTTGTATGACGGTATGTTGATACATAAATACGATCATATAAATTGATCGCAAACAAATACTGGATTCAGGCGATGCGCAGATCGTAAGCCGCTCCCCAGCTAACGGCTTCTTCGCAAAATAGTTATGTACGCCACACACTATCGCAGGAGCGACGACGAAACGAGCCTGGTTCCAAAACAGTTTCTCGTGTGTGTCCAACACGATCGCAAGAACAACTATCCTGCGCTTCGAATAGAACTCACGGGAGGAAACGTGGAGAGCGGAAGCTGTGGTTTCGTGCAGGATGGGCAAACAGAAACTGTCCAGCCAGGGATACACGTCTGTCATGGACTGGCTGGGGCATTCCCACGGGGCGAACGGAACAACAAATGCCCAACCAGAAAATCGGCGGCACCACCGATTTCTCCCAGCCCAGCTTTTGCCTGTGTGGTGAACAGACTGCAATGGGAGTGCCGTTCTCTGACTTGTAGTTCGCGAGCATCTGCTTGACCAGAGCGAAAAACAGAATCGTGTTTCGACTGGTTGAGAAGTATTCGCCGAGATCGTACTTCTACTGCTAGTGGTAACCACACATCTGTTCAAATGTGACTGCGCCTATCGGAGCTCACCGAGATTCGTGCTCTTGTGCTCAGTTCGGTGCCAAGGTGAGACCTGTGACCTGTCTAGTCGAGACACTGTTCTGGAACCCGAGCTTGCACACTTGGGTGTACAAATGCAAGTAAAGCAAAACAGTGCTAAGCTATATGTTCAAAGTTGCTGCAATCCTTTGGAGGTCTCTAACTCGGATTATGATACGCAAGCGCTCCTCTAGCCGTAGTTTCAATGCCACTTTGTCGGCATCGAGGTCACCCCATGAACCCCCATCTTCCTCAATCGTAGTGTTGCCATTGGCTTCTGTTTCCTGTGAATCATCCAGTGGTAAGTTGAAAGCGTCGGAGATAACCTGAGCAGCAGCTGCAGCATCAGCTTCAACAATTTCTAGAAGCTCTTCCAGCTCGCGGATAAAGTCGATACGAAGAAGCGTGCTCTCACCACCCATGCTCGCACCCGGATCAGCCATACCACCAAGGTCATTCTGAACAGGCAAAATTTTCAGGAGATGAAGGCACGACAGTAAATTTTCCAAAGCAGGGACACATTGGTAGGAAACAGTCGGATTGAGTGTTTCCAGGCAGTATCAAAAGACAAAAAGCCACAGTGCTACAGCCGACAGCACGTACCCATGGGGTGGATGCTGAGGGAGCGCCCATGCCATTCACCACCGGCATGACCACCATGAATGGGTCCTCTGGCAAAAACACTGCTCTCATGGCATCTCGCGCCTCGCGCTGCCATTGGTCGTAGCTGGAGGTGCTGATGTCAGCGCTGAGGTCATCAGCGAGGTGCAGGAGGGTGTTGAGGAGGCGTAGGGCGGGCGTGGCTTGCTGCGCCTCTCTCTCTGCCTGTGGCAGGAGAGAGCGAGGGGTCATGCAGAGACCACGGAGGGCAGGAAGGAGGTGGGGAAGAGGACGACAGATGGGAAGAGGGGCTATGATGTTGGTCGCTCTTACAGGGGTTTGGTAGGTAGGCCAATTATGATACGGGGGGGACGAGGACATTAGAGGTTGGACAGCGAAGTGCAAGACACGGCTTGGGATGGCATGGAATGCAAGTCATGAATACAAGCAGGGGAGAAGACATGGCGTGGGGTGGAACGGCAAGGGTGCATGGCGGGAAGGAGGACTGACCTCAATGCGCCGCAGCAAGAGGTCGAGGCACTGCACCACATGGCGCTCGTTCTGCTCATAGGGGGCACAGGGAAGCGAGGAGGGTGATGGCACGTGAGGGATTCACATGGAACAGGTCGTTTCCCCACCGCACCACTCACATCAGTCAATCACACCCGACATTGCACCACGCACATCAATCCGCAAGCCCTCCCCCGTTTCTCCCTCCCAATCACGGTGCATCCGTAACAACCATACACCCCCAGCACTCACGTCGTGCCGGGCGAAGTTGAGGCGGTTCTGAATCACGAGGATGAGCGCATCGTTCAGTGCGCCCTCCCTGCCCAGCCGCACTATCTCCTGCACCACCGACCGACACAGCGTCCCGTGCACCAAACCAGCACAGAGTCTCATGCACCAACCCAGCACCCATGCACCCAGCATCCCAGACAAAAAGGGTGGGAGATGGTTAGTCAGGTTGACACAACGACGGCAGCCGTTGTTTTTTATAAAAGCCAACAGAAGATTGGGGGGAGAGGGGGAAGGGGTGGGCCTTTTGGCCTGAACACACAAGATGCTGACGACTGTGCCACGTCATCCCCTCACCTGTTCCACGTCATCCCCGGCACGAATAAGATCGGCCACCCGCTGCCTCGCCAGCCTAAGCTCCTCCGGATCCATCTCCTGCGCTCGTTCCCCGAAGCTTCGCTCCATCCGACGGTATTCAGCCGCCTCTGCTGTCTCACTCATGACCGCTCCGGTTCCGCGTTTCCCTCCGAATCCCGCATCATCCTCGCTAAACGCCGCAGCCTCGAGCGGCTCTTGCGCTGCCTCCCATCCTGACCGTTGATCTGCCTCTCCATGCTTCTCAACCGTTCGATCATCAAACTCCACTTTCCCGCCTTGCACTACTTCAGGCTCCTTAGGCAGCCACTTGCGCCGGCCGACCCGTTCCCCCTTTCCCGAACTTCCCGGTTCTATCCGTTCCTCTCTATTCGGTCCAGTTTTATCCGAACCACCGACATTGCTTCGGCGCCTGCCCCGCCGTCCCGAGCCAACAGCTGACAACCCCCCTTCTGTTCCAACCCCCTCCCGAACCACAGCATTTACTCCAATCGTCTCCCCGCTCCCGCTTTCCTGCTCGCCAGCCGCTTTGACTACGCATGGTCTAAGCCGCCGCGACTCTCGCACCCCTGATTTTTTCCGTGCGATTCCCCACTGAGGCTGGTTAGGACGGGATCGTTGTGGTTCGCCGCGAAGGGCAAAGGAGAAACGAGAAGCTGCTATGGAGGTTAGAGGAGGCCCTGGAGGCACCGGAATACGTGATATGTTGAAGCTAGTCTGAATGCGCATGGCGACCCTAGGTTTAGACGATGATGCGAGGGACGCCTGACAAAACTTGCAGAGGTGGTGCTGGGAACGAACTTCGAGGTTTACAAATTCATTCAAGACCAAGAAGATTGCGACAACAATCAGGATGAAGGGTTTAGCTGACAGGGTCCAAGGGCTTTCCGTACGCGTTACCGACTAGAGCCGGTCTCATTTCTCACTCCACCAATTTCGACCCACTTCGTACCGATTGTAGGAACGATTTCAAAATTCCGTTCTACACCCCTCATCCCCCCCCCCCAGCCCCCTTGTTGCCAAGTCTCACCACCTCCTCAATCTAGCTCCACGTTCAGCATCACCAGTTACATCACCAGTTCGTGCTCCGTGTGCCTGTTTGTGCCTGATCCAATGGCAATATTCGCCGTCGTTCCCGTGACACCTCTTCTGTCTCACGCTCTGCCGCTTCGATCAAGTGCGATGTCGCTCGCTCCGCCTCTTAGGTCCTTGCTCTCGGCAACCGCATCCCTACCAGCTCCGCCATCCATTCGTTTGGGCATTCAGGCTCACCTTGAAGCCGTCACTCCAGGCGTGGCGGATGTCATGTCCGTTCACGGGCACGTAGCCTCTATACAACCAGACGCGACTTACGTGTCAGGTATTGCTGACATGGGAGCGACGCTGCTGTGGCTCCAGCCCTTCACGGAGAGCGAGATTGCGGGGCTCATCTTCGGAGCCGCCATCATCGCGTGTGCGGCTAGTGCGCCACGCGTCGACCAATGGTTCGCACGCGCTCAACGGCGGTGAGTATGCTTGGTCAAAGGAGAGGGTTAACGGTTAGAAGACGTGAGGTGACAGTGAATGTGAGACGAAAGGCATGGGGAGTCTGTCTACTGAATGCAACCCCTTCCCTGCATTCCTCATTCAACTTATCCTTGCCACTAGTTTGCCATGAACGCCGTCCCCATTCCTGCTTCCTGGGCGTTTATTCCATTTCAACAGCACCATGCATACCGTACCTACATCACCTCCTGTGTCCATTCCAGGGATCTTGGTGTTTGCGAAGAATGTGGAGGAGTTGGATACTTACCATGCAACGCTTGCAGCAAACAGGCAAACGTGTTTCAGCTACCAGTTTTTGGGACTCCAGAACAGGAGCCACCCAAGCCACATAAGGCGTCTGCAGTTCCAGATGATAAGCCCAAATGCTCCTGTTGTGGAGGAAGAGGTAGAGTCTCATGTCCTGCCTGTATAAACCATTGATAAACCGGCTCCATCTCTGAACTTGGTTAGGGTTGAGAGCTACACACGAGGGTACTACCATTCCAAACATTTGGGATTTGCAAGTCTAAAATATATCATACCAGACTAGCGAACAATGGCTTAATAAGAAATACACCTTTCACAGCATAAACAAATATACCAATGATTCACACTGCAACCAGGGAAGGTTCCGCACAAGCTAACGAACAGTCTATGAGAGCATTCCCGCACTGCAAGCATTAGGGCGTCATAACCCTAGTCCTACGCAATTCGACATTCAGGGATTTCACCTGAGAGCCTTCGTTTTAATGATATCAAGGTCCATTTCAGACGCATCTGTTGCCTGAAGCTCAATTTGCACACCGGAAAGCTGCTGGCGGAAGGTATCCTTCGAGCTGGCGTACACCATCTTGTTCTTCACAGCTGACGTGTCAGGAGACCTGGAAGAAGGAAAAAAATGATAATAATGAAATAAAAACGTTGAGGGAAATGGTTCACAGTCCGATGAAGTGCGCGAGGCTGTGGCAGATCTGAATAGCAGACGGGTTTACCAGGCGATGAAGAAAATCTTGCTCTTGTGGCAGTTATCGTCTGTAACAAACTCGTGGTCGTAAACCGCATAGCGGCAGTCATTCTCAGGAAGAGCAGCCTGGAAGTCAGCGTAGGTCTTGCTAGGGTCTCCGTAAGTGTCCACTACGATCTGGTCCTTCTCAATCTTGTAAGTAATGAAGCGGTGCGCCTTTTTCCTCTGGAGATCTCCGAATTTCGCCAGGCACTCTTCCGACACCGCCATACCAGAACGAGCGTTGGCCTGTACAACGAGCCATTATAAAAGCCGTTAGTCTTGAACTGCATAAATGCCTAAAAGGGCAAATGCAGCTAACATGAAAACATCTACTAACCATGGCGCCTGTGATCGAGGTACTGTCCAAAAATGACAGTGCGCACTAGGAGAAGGCAATCGCTTGACTCAGCTAAGGTAGCTGAAATGTGATGAGAATGTGGAAGACCAACAAGCAAGAAAGGGGGAGACAGGCCTGAATCCCGAGGGGAAGGTGGGGTGAAATGAGAGAAATGTTGCTCCACACGTCGGAGTTTTGGTGGAGCTCGCCACCACCAAACCCAACTAACCGCTAACGGCGGGAAATGGTTTCGCAGCCCGCGCAGCACAGCCCCGAAAACACTGGGCCTTCCGCAAGCGTGATTCGTCGGGGTGCCCCAGCACTTCAAGATAAGAACTCATCCAGCAAGCAGAGGTGTAGCTGTACATGAATAAATGACTTGTAAAAGTTTTATTTGTCCAAACACTAAGGTTGGGTCATGATTGGCTCTGACGGGCCTACTTTCGACTGTTATGATAACATTGCATATACTGGTGTGCAGTGTTGCCAAATCATTAACTACGTTTAGCAAGGGCGCTAAATAACAGATGTAATGTATGGTACAATACAAGAATTTGTGGCAATCTCCATCCCCAAAATAGTTGTAACAGCATCAGATAATAAGAAAACAGATGGCTCCCTTCCTTACCCTTACATTGACATGGAACCACCAACAAGAAAGTTCTTCTGTGCATAGCTGCAGTTGGATACGGCTGGCACATCAAATGCTAGCAAAAGAATGATCAGGCAGGGTGTAGCACAGCTAGGCCGTTTAAAGTTCAAAACCGTCATTGCTCCCCTGCTGCTTCAACACATTCACCTTCCATCCTCATGGTACTGTCAACTCTTGTCGTCAACTTTACCTCATCCTTGCCTCTGGTAGTTTTGCTGGAATTGAAAGCAAGTATGCAGCCTAGGCAATGTCGATACTCACGATGGCATGACAATGACATGTCACACCATGGATGATGCACCGTGGAATGCCAAACCATAACATGCCGCACCATGACATCCTGCACCATCACATGCCGCACCGTGACTGCAGTATCACATGCCACACGATGACGTCCTGCACTACGACACACCACACAAATACATGCCACAGAGAATAAAGCCCTCCTCTCCCCTTCTTCCACTCACCCATCTTCCTCTGGAGGTTTCAACCACCCTCTTTCCACTCACCCACCTTTCTCAGAAGGTTTCAGCACCCCTCTCTCCTTATCTCACTCACCACCCTCCTCTGGGGGTTTCAGCCCCCCTCTCTTCTTATCCCACTCACCCACCTTCCTCTGGGGTTTTCAGCCCCCCTCGCTCTTTGTTTCGATACCTCAACCACAGCAACAGGTGGCATCAGTGCCATACGGCTCATCATGTGCCACCAACCAAGCATGAGCATCATGCTCTCATGCAACAGGTGGCATCAGTGCCATACGGCTCACCTCATGATGTGCCACCAACCAAGCATGAGCATCATGCTCTCATGCAACAGGTGGCATCAGTGCCATACGGCTCATCATGTGCCACCAACCAAGCATGAGCATCATGCTCTCATGCAACAGGTGGCATCAGTGCCATACGGCTCACCTCATGATGTGCCACCAACCAAGCATGAGCATCATGCTCTCATGCAACAGGTGGCATCAGTGCCATACGGCTCATCATGTGCCACCAACCAAGCATGAGCATCATGCTCTCATGCAACAGGTGGCATCAGTGCAATACGGCTCACCTCATGATGTGCCACCAACCAAGCATGAGCATCATGCTCTCATGCAACAGGTGGCATCAGTGCCATACGGCTCATCATGTGCCACCAACCAAGCATGAGCATCATGCTCTCATGCAACAGGTGGCATCAGTGCCATACGGCTCACCTCATGATGTGCCACCAACCAAGCATGAGCATCATGCTCTCATGCAACAGGTGGCATCAGTGCCATACGGCTCATCATGTGCCACCAACCAAGCATGAGCATCATGCTCTCATGCAACAGGTGGCATCAGTGCAATACGGCTCACCTCATGATGTGCCACCAACCAAGCATGAGCATCATGCTCTCATGCAACAGGTGGCATCAGTGCCATACGGCTCATCATGTGCCACCAACCAAGCATGAGCATCATGCTCTCATGCAACAGGTGGCATCAGTGCCATACGGCTCACCTCATGATGTGCCACCAACCAAGCATGAGCATCATGCTCTCATGCAACAGGTGGCATCAGTGCCATACGGCTCATCATGTGCCACCAACCAAGCATGAGCATCATGCTCTCATGCAACAGGTGGCATCAGTGCAATACGGCTCACCTCATGATGTGCCACCAACCAAGCATGAGCATCATGCTCTCATGCAACAGGTGGCATCAGTGCCATACGGCTCATCATGTGCCACCAACAAAGCATTAGCATCATGCTCTCATGCAACAGGTGGCATCAGTGCCATACGGCTCACCTCATGATGTGCCACCAACCAAGCATGAGCATCATGCTCTCATGCAACAGGTGGCATCAGTGCCATACGGCTCATCATGTGCCACCAACCAAGCATGAGCATCATGCTCTCATGTTCCTCCACCAACACCACTGCCTCTCATCACCATCACAACCAGACCCACCCAGCCCCACCCATACTCACCTGCCAGCAGTAGGAGCAGCAGACAGCCCACTCCTTTTCGAGAACAGCACCCCCAGGGGCTGTGACTTGTGGGTCAAGGTGTGGCAGTGAAAAATCGCTTCCAGCCCAAGACTCGAATCTCACCCCCGACGTAGCTAGAGCTGACGCGAACCAGAGTCGCCGGCCGGTCGGCTCTGACGGTGTCCATTAAGCCTTAAACGCCGGATCGGTTACTCGAGCACCGAGTGCCGTGCCGCGTAGATTCCACCCACCACACACCCAAACCACAAGCCACAACTCCAGAGGATGCTGCCCCTAAGGCAGTGAACTCCCCACTCGCTCCCATGCTTCCCCCACCCACCCACGCCACACTTCACCCCCATGCCTCCTTACCTGTACCTACCACAACTGTGCAGAGCGCCATGATGCCTCAGGCTGCTGGGAAGTGGGAGGGGGGGATTAGGGGAGGGCCAAACTCTACTGTGCTCCAATCAGCATGCTGCTGGGAGGGAAGGGAGAAGGGAGAGAGGGGGGGGGGGGGGGGGTGAGATGGTAGAGTTCCCACTCCGCCTTGCCTCCATCGCCCTTGCGTCAGGCTGCAACAAGGGGTGGGGGGGGGAGGGGGAAGAGAGAGGAGGGGATCAGAGAACACACCTGTCACCATACCTCACCTGATACCATACCTCACCTGATACCATACCTCACCTGATACCATACCTCACCTACCATACCACACCTCTCTCACGACTCGACCTAGCCTAGCCTGTCCTCTAGCCCCCCACCCCCACAGCTGCTGCTGCTGAGGCCGCTTCTGCTGCTGCAACTGCTGCTGCCGGTCTGCTTCTCAGCTTCCTCTGCTACAGCCTTCACTCCATGCCAAGTGACCTGGTGGGGGCAGAAGACAGAGGGGACGAAAAAGCAAGTGAGTTGGCATGACCAGGAAAAAGACAAAAGGCATAGAATTGAAGAGCAGAACTAAAGAGCAGAAAGGCACAATTGAAGAGCAAGAAAAAGAGAGAAATAGGGCAAGAGGCGAGGTAGCGTACATAAGGAGAGAGCTGGGGAGGTGACGTACCTTGAGAGGCCAAGCCCACACCCATACTCTCCCGTGTGGCAGAAAATGGCAGTGCTGCCTCCCTCCCATCCCCACGGGTACCTGCACGGCCACAGGGGAGGGGCGTGGGGAAGCGTCGGTGTTGACCCCCGCCCCTCTCCTCCACCTGCAATGGCACACAGAAAAGACATTAGTGACTGGTGGAGAGGCGAGGGGTAAAGGAGGAAGGTGGATGCAGAATGAGAAGAAGAAGAGGGAAGGGAAGCCACTGGTGGAGCCCCAGCTACAAGCCACAGACCCAAGGGGGGGCTATACATAGGGAGGCTTGACCTGAGAGTATACCTGCTATACCTGGGGGGATTTACCCAAAAAAGAGGGGCTGTGGCTTGAAGGTTTGGCTGAACCAGAGGGTGGGGTTTGAGGAGACAAGTAGCAGGAGCTGCAGCAAGGATGAACACGGAAAGCAAAGGAAGAGAATAGAGGGTTGTGAGACGAATTGCAGGGCAGAGACTTAGCTGTGGAAAGGTCGGGTAGAGAGCAGCTGCTGCCTGTGCACTCCATGTCCCCCGCCACTGCCACTCCCGTGTGAGCGACCTGCTGGGACGAGAGGGGGAGGATCAGGACAGAGAGGGAAGGAGGGGGGGAGAGGACGTTGGTGCGAAGGAGAAGCAGAGGAGTGGGGAGGGAAAGCATGCACGGTAATGGAAGACAGAAGAGAGACATCAGTTGCAGCAGTAAGAGGGGGTGGCTCAAAGGGGCTCACCTTGAGAGGCCAAGCCCACCCCAGATACTCTCCCTCATGGCAGCATTCTTCCCGCCTTGCCTCCAGCCCACCACTGGCACCTGCACGGCCACCAGGGGAGAGGCGCGGAGGAGTGTCGGTGTTGACCCCCACGCCCCTCCCCTCAACGAGCAAGGAGAGAAACGAAGTCAAGTGAGTAAGATGCCAGGGGTAGCAGTGTGAGAAGAGTGCATGAGAGGATGGGGTGGGATGGCAGGCGAGAGCAGAAAGGGGGCCTCTGGAGTTGCCTCAGCTACAAGCCACAGACCCAAGGGGGGTACATACATACCTAGGAAGGCTTAACCTGAGAGCATACCTTGTGTACCTGGGGTGGCTTACCCAAAAAAAAGGGGGTCTGTGTCTTGAAGATGCGGCACGACCAGAGGCTCACGTTTGAAGGGAGAGGCAACAGGCGATGCAGCAAGGATGGAAGTAAACTGGAGCGGTGATGTGGAGAGAGAATGAGAGGTGAAGCAGCTCACCGTGTGCAGCAGGGAGCGAGCAGCCCGCATGCTCTCCCGCTGGCTGGCTGGAGTGGCACCCCTTGGCGAGTGGAGAGGGGTGAGCACCCCT